TTCATCTTGGAGTCAGTAATGACTCCAAGATCCTTTTTTTGAGGGTAAAAAAAAAAATTGTTTACTTTGATCAGTTTTAAATGTCGCCACCTTTTTATTTTTCCCCTGAATGTCCCCTAGCATTATATGAAGGAGTGAGCAGAAGTTTTCTCTGTACTTCTCGTGTCACTCATTCATTCTTACCTCTTATAGGGGTCCTCTCTAAAGTAAGAGATCTGTTAATACAGTTTTTGTTAGCTTTTCCATTTTCTGAACTCTATTGTTACCCATTTTTTCACAGAATGATAGAAAATGAGGGTTGGAAGGGACCTCAGGAGGTCATTTAGTCCAACCCCCTGCTCCAAGGAGGACCATTTCCGATTAGATCATCCCAGCCAAGGCTTTTTCTACCCATGTCTTAAAAACCTCCAACAATGGAGATTCCACAGCCTCTCTGGGTAACCTGGTCCAGTGTTTTACTAAGCTTCTTGTGAGTGAGTTTGTCCTAATAATCTAACCTAAGCCTCCCCTGCTGCAACTTGAGAACACTGTTCTGTTATGAACAGTCCATCCTCTTTATAACCACCCTTCAGGTAGTTGAAGGGTGTTAATAAATCCTGCCCCCCCCCCCAGTCTTCTCTTCTCTTCTCTAGAGTAAATAAGCCCAGTTCCATCAGCCTCTCCTCAGAAGTTATGCTGTTGTTCCCTAACCATTTTCATTAGCCTCTGCTGGACTCTCCAATTTGTCCACATCCTGTCTGTTCTGGGGGGTCCAAAACCGGACACGGTACTCCAGCTACGGCCTCACCAGTGTAGAATAGAAGAGAATAATCGCTTCCCTCAATCTGCTGGCAACACTCCTACTAAGGCATCCCAGTATGGTGTTAGCCTTCTTTGCAACAAGGCAACACTGCTGTCTCGTATTCGGCTTACTGTCCACTGTAACCCCCACATCCTTTTCTGCAGAGCTGCTGCATAGCCAGTCAGTCCCCAGCCTGTATTGTGGTGCGCATGGGATTGTTTCATCCTAAGTGCAGGACTTAGCACTTCTCCTTATTGAACTTCATTACTTTCTTTTGGTCCGATCCTCCAATTTGTCTAGGTCTCTCTGAATCCTAGCCCCGTCTACCAGCATATCTATTAATTCTCCCCCCCCACCTTGATGTGATCCACAAACTTGTTGGGGGTGCAGGGTTTTAATCTTTTTAAGATGAGAGGATCTAAAAGAATTCCATAGGTGGGCAGACCATGTATTCTATAAAATAACAACATTTTTGGCAATGATAGGATATTTGTTTCCTCAGCAAATAAACATTTTTGAGTCTGCTGTAAAGTCTTGGTACTACTACTGTTGATAACTGGTTATATCAATAATTAATTGTATTGTCCATATGTTAATATTAACCCTACTATTACTACTAGTAATAGTTATTAATACACTATTTGCCAACCAAAGACAATATGAAGCCATAAATAAAATAAATAGAAGTGAATTATTTCAAACTAAGGCTCTTGTCTACTGCCATGGTTGGGGTAGATTAAGATGCCTTTGTAGCTGCCATGAAAGCATACAAACACAATCGTGCATTCTGGGCTCTAAATATATGATTGAGGTAGTAATTCTATTGCTGAAGCAGAAGAAGTATATGGGAGGGGATTTGGTGTGAGGTACGTTATGATGAGTTTGAGGTACCTTATGGTGAATTTCTTCCAGAACTATACCAATGAAAATCTGTTTGTTGGTTTGTTTCTAAGCATCAAACTGCACCCTGTATTTCAGGTAATAACTCATAACTGTTGAACAGTAAGAATGTCAAGAGGGAGATTCTGAAACAGATCGATAACCTAAATAGCAAGTCAGAACCTAGAAGTTCTTATGGGAATTTTGAATGAAGTGGCTGATTCTTCTAAAAAGTGAGATCTTAAAATCGGAAACCACAGCAAAGGCCTCAAGGGTAATAAATTACATGTTCCATTAAAAAAAGATGGATGTGATGCTAGAAATTAAACCAAAGAGCTTCAATTAGGGTTGAATAGTTGGAAGCAGTCATTTAAACAGAGGGCAAGGTCTTTGCTTCCACTCTTTTTCCTTTGCTTCATGTAAAGGGGCCAGAGCTACATAAAGTAGCCATAAATTCCTCCTCTCCAGGCAGGGGAAGAATGCTTTGGAGAAAGTTTTTTGTAAGAGAGGCATAGGGTTGCCTTCCAAAGCCCATCTTAAAAGATCAAATTTTGAGAAGGGATGGTAGTTACGAGTAAGATCAACAGTGGGGGCTGCTTTAATCAGCATTTCAGATATTTCAGGAAGCCTTCTTAGCTAAAGGATAGCTTAGAGCAGTGCATCTTGACCTTCTGAGGTAGTTTGACCTGCTGGCAGTGGTGGTGGTGCAGCAGTTTGGAGATGAACTTTATTTCCAGGAGCAGGAAGTGGCTGTGGCAGGGTGGTCATGCCTACCTGCATTAGGTTTATCTGATAAAGCTAATGGCCCTGCTTCTGCTTCAGCTGCTTCCTGGTCCAGCTCCACATGAGGCGTGTGGGACAGTTGTACCTGGCTGCAGCCCCCTTGAAAGGGTCTTGTGGCACTGCAGTTGCGAACTGCTTGTCTACAGACTGCCATAGCTCAAACAGGCTCACTGAACTCAGTTATGCCAGACACTCTGGAAAAAGAATTGGGAGGGTGAGAACATTGCTTAAAGCCACATTAGGTTCTTTGTCTTGCTGGGTTGTAAATTCCATGGTGTGATGAGCGTGATGTGAAAACCATACTATCATCAAAGAGAAATCTTCTCTCCCCATCTTCTGGAACTTGACCTCATGAACCAAGCCATGGGTAAAGGAGTGTTAATTGATAACTTTTAAATAAAAAAGCTTGGACATAGACCCCTCACAAGTTAATTTTAAGTAAACTCATTGCTGGGTTTATGAAAGAGAATTTATTTCTAAACCGTAGAAAAGCATCAAACAGTAAATTTTAACACACTGAAAATGGACAATTTCTAGAGTTGGACCTGTAGTTCTTGCTGTCTCAGTGATATGGAGAAGTAGGAGAACAATGAGGTTGCAGAATTTGCAGATGATGCAATTATTTTGCTTAGTCAAAACCAAAAAAACCAAAC